AGCGAAGCAGAATATCTAACGATAAAGTTCAAGAGTCGTTAAGCTTAAAAGTTATCGAGATTGACGAAAGCAGCTTGAATAGCTTTTATATTTAACTCGTTATTATTAAGCATATTTTAAACGAACTAAGTTGCTTTTTTATTAGTCTGCTATCTTATAAGCGTATTAAAAACAACGTAGCGAAAGCGAAAATAACGTGCGAAACGAAAGTCGTAATACTTTAATAAGTGCTTAATATATTAAGCGTAGTTTATAGCTTTAGTTCGAGAGGCTACGAATTCAGCTGTTCTATTAAGATAAAGCGTCGGAAAGGCAAGACTTAGCAAAGCTTGTGATCTATTGAACTCTTTAATCGATATAACGCGGAAATCAAGAATAAAAAGATGAAAAGCTTATCTAAAAAGCAGAATTCGACCCGCATCTTTATTAAAGCGATCGAGTTCAGTCTGCTTAGCTATCAGATCAAAAATAGCTGCAACTTTAATAGCTTTAAAGTCAAGATCTTTTTTATTAATAAGCTCTTCGTCTAAAGCAGCAACTTCTTAACGAGCAAGTTAGTTTTGAATATCGCTATTCTTAAGCAATTGAAAAAAAATAGCGCGGTCAATTTCAATATTTATATAGCTAAAGTAGTGCTATTTGAAGTGCTTTAGCTAAATAATAATAGCAATACGGCGAACCTTATACTCTTTTTTGAACTAACGAGCTAGACCGAAGTTTTAAGCATTATTAGCAGGCTTAAAGATAATAATCTTAAGATCTCGAAAAAGAAGAAGTAGCTTATTATATAGCTTCTCGATATCTTAAAAAAAGTTGCATACATATCTAATATATTTGAACTGCTACTTACGAACTTGATAGACCTTTATAAAAACGTGAACTCGAGCAATTAGCATCTCTTTAACAGATGTAAGCTTCGATAAATAAGCCGGAACGAGCTTAAGGTTTATCAAGTTATCAGCTAACATAAGAAACGGTTCGTTATCCTTCCGACTTTTGTCGCGGGTAATACAGCACTTCTTACAGACCGTGCTGACTATACTCGTATTAAACCAATTCTCTTTGCAACGAGTACAGAACTTTATAGAACTTTCTTTAGCGAAAAAGGTCTAGAAATCTTTTATAAGCTTTATATTATAATCCGAAAAGACAAGAGCATCAGCATCATTAAGATCTATATCGGACTAAATCGCAAGATCAATATCATCAAGATTAGCGATTGTTGCCGAAGTGCTTTAAAGCTATTGAGTAGAAAGAGTAAGAGTGATTAAAGATGCTTAAGAACCGCGACGTAAACCTTAATAAAAAGAAGATTAAGAGTAAAGCAAATTATCTTTATTCTTATTATCTTTTTCGATAATATCGAGAGCTTTAAAATAGCAAGGATTGCATATATCAGCACTCTCAATTAATATAGCGGAGCGTCGAAATAAGTGTCGAAAGGACTCGTGCTTGCTATAAACGCATCACTTCAATTCTAAATAGATATTCTAAGAAGCTTATTAGTAGTAAACGCAAACTCTATTAGCGGCAGATTCAATAAAGAAAGGCCTAGCAATGCTGCAGATGTCATATACGAAATAGCCTTAAGTACGCGATTCTAAAAAGGCGATATTATAAGAGCCTCGAGCAAAGATATCAAACATAATAAGAGTTTGAGAGCGCTGTCTACTTATGCGATCAATCAATCGATGTCCTTTTTGTATAGCCCGGATCTCTCGACGCGCCGCGGTCTTTTATATAGTCTCTTAGCTCATTCTTAAAAGAGCGTAAGGGTTGAAAGAAGGGCTAAGGGCCAAGGATCTTCGGCGGGCCGGAGCCGGAGTATACATCGATTCGATTGCGCGTTTTTAATAGATATAAGCACGCGTTCGTTTATAAGAAAGTATCTTACTCTTCTAGTTCTAGACGGCCTTGCAGTAGACTCGCCCTCTCTTACACTTATATTAATAAGCGATCGAAGAGGCTTAAATGCTTTTGCTAAGTCTCTATAGCTCTAGCAAAGCGAAACGATCTTATTCTTTATTTTAAACTTAAAGTTAGCAGCTTGCTTTTTGTAAGTATAGCATTTGATACATTCTTGCTTAATAGTGCCGTCTAAAGCGACACGTGTTTTTTAAGCGGTTTTCGGAGGCATAGCGTGTTAAAGAAGCAAGAGCAATACTAATAATTAATTCATCAATAGATAATCGAGAACGGTGATGTCTAAGCGAAAAGAGGGATGGTTGACGCGGTGAATATTGCGATTAATTAAGACGGTTTAATTAAGACGTATTAAAAAGGAAGCGGAAATACTAAAATCCGAGAATCACGTAGAAAACAATTACGTTGTCTGCTATTTTAAGATTCTGCCGCTCGTCACTACGCGCACTTTTTAACTGACCAATCAATTCCATCCGCTAAGAAAAGTTATTTGCATTTTTTCATAAGGCCACATTCCCCTTTATAAAGGAAGGAGCTCTCCGGTAATACAAAGCTTCGCAAGCTCGCTTTGATTAGAATCAGCGCGGAACACCAAAAATCGGACTTTTCTTCAATTGAACCTATCCAAAGAATACTATACGTGCATCACTACCAGATCTGATTTCATAATCAACACCTTCAAGAATATCATATATTAAATCATCTATGTTCGAATCATGTGCCGTTTTTTTTAAATGAAAGTTGTGCTTATTAAAATATTCACAATAGACAAGTAAATTTGAATTATTTGGGACAGTTTTTGACCATTTTTTTTTTTCATTACATTTCAAATGTATTCGATGACCACAGATAAATAGATTTTGATAATTTGAATTCACGTTTGTAAAGCAAGATTTTGTAAGCGTATAAAGATTTTTTTTTAAAATTTTTTTTATAATAATAGTTGTGGTTTAATAAGTGGTATACCGTTACTGTCTCGCCTTGGTGGTGCCGACCTGGCGATTTTTTACAAATTAAATTCAAGGTAACCGACGATTAGGACGGCTATAGGACGGCCTTAAGCTCGGGGACGATTAAAAAAGGTGAATTATTCTTGATTTGTAATTAATACTGATTTTAAATGGTTTAATCATCGTCTTTTGTAAAAGAGGGTCAGGGGACCGCTTAAATGACCCCCCTACCTGCCTTTAAGGTAGCCTTGCTATTTTACCTTACCTCTTCACCTGACTTCTCCTTACCTCGACTCACCACCTCACCTCACCTCGCCTCACCTCGCCTTACCTCGCCTCACCTCATCCATCTCGCCTCACCTCACCTCGCCTCATAATCATCACCATACCCGCCCCCCGCTTGGCTCCTTGATATGCGTGCCTGCGTCCAGGGCGTCCAGGAGCTGTCTGATCTGTAGAGGTAGCTACCGTTGTTCCATGGACTGCTGCTGGCTTGCCTTGTAGGGAGGGGTTGAGAGGGATAGAAGAGGGGGGGAGGGGGGGGGTTGGTGAGGTTGGTTGGTAAGGTGGGTAAGATGGTAGATTACTTGTTGTTGGGTGGTGTCTCTGTTGGGGTGTTGTTCGTTCGTAGGGAGTTTGGTGTGGGTGGATGGATGGATGAATCCCGACGCTGCTGGTGAAGGCAAGCGGCGCGGGGGAGTGCAGTGCAATGAGTGCAGTGCAGTGGAGTGGAGTGTGAATCAATGGCGTGTCTTATAGTTCTGCGCAGAGCAGGTGACGAGATGAGATGAGATGAGATGAGGTAAGATGAGATGAGGTGAGTCGCTGAGGATTAAAAGGGGCAGAGCGCAGCAGAGAAAAATCTGACGAGAGGCAATTATCCGTACCTAATAAATTGTTTTTATTTAAGCGACGCGAAGCACGCGAGATAGCAGCGGGAAACAAACCCATACTAAATACGTAGTAACGAGAAGCAGAGACCCAAACCCTAACCTTGACCTTGACCACGACCGCGACCGCCGCTACGTAGTACGTACGTAGAGGGCACGCAGAGCGCCTCACTTAGCCCCCGACGTGTCGTCCCGGTGCAGCGCTCTTGTTCCGACGGGAGCGACAGTCAGGGAGGGAGTGAGTGAGTGAGTACCGGTAGTCGCAAGCACTCTTTCTTCCCTTTCTTGGGGCGAGGGCTCGCTCAGCCACGCTCATTACCTACCTATTCATCTTCTCTCGTGGCGAGATTGGATCGTACGGAGAAAGGCGTCCTTTCGAAACGGCATGCATGCATGCGTGCGTGCATGCGTGCATTCAAGCTCTCGTATCGTCTGCAGCAATCTCATGTCGCAGCGGTTCGAAGGGCACGAGAAGGGGAGAGAAGGAGATCCGCTGGCACAGACAGGGTCGGTAGCAGGAGATGGTTGGCCCCGCTACCGCTACGGCGTATTCGTAGGTTCGAGGATTACATACCGTACTGCTACGTACCGTAGGTACCGGTACCGTACCTACTACTACTAGTACTTACAGGACGAGCGAGGCTTTGCGGGCGCGGTGCATCTGCAGCACATCCATCCATCTCTCTAGGCCGTATGCACGACTGACTGACGGACTGACGGACTGATCACGTGGGTCTCTCCGACTCCGAGTCTCTTCTCTTCCTTTCCCTTCTCGGCCCCCGGGGCGATAAGTCATGCTGTCGAGATGGGAGCATTGGCGGTAACAGGGAAGGTCTACTACTGCGTACCTGCTGCTACTGCAAGTACCGTCCCAGACTAATCCCAATCCACTCATACCTCGTCGGGTCACGGGGTAGGGGAGCTCATAGTTGTAGATTGGCTTCGGGGGTTAATGGCCTTTGAGTTTGGATTCAGGGGCTGGCTCACTTCGTGCCTCACTCTAACTGGTACGGGACTTCCAGTCAGAGGGTCGATTTCGCATGTGGGAGGGCCGGGGGCAGGGGGGGGGCAGGGGTGGCAGGGATGGCAGGGTGGGCAGGGATGGAACGGTTGGAAAGCCGAGACGGAGGGATGCTCTTCCCTACTGGACTGTACTTACCGTCCAGTACTGACTGTAGGTACTAGGTAAGTACGTACTAAGCACGAAGCACCTGGCTTGATTGAACTCTGTCCGGAGATGGAGAGAGATGCATCTGCAGATGTTGGAGGTCAGTCGGCGTCGCGCAGATTGCACATTGCACATTGCACATTGCACATTGCAGCCGGCCACGGCGGCCACGGCGGCCACGGGATCAGCAAGGGGGACGTGGTGAGTTTGTTCGTTCGACGTGCTCCGTACTGTAGTAGTAGTACTACTACGTAAGTAGTAGTATAATACGGTAATGCAGGGCAGGCCAGCCCAGCCCAGCCCAGGCCAGCCCAGGCCAGGAACCGATCAGGAATATTGCGTGACGGTAAGCGAGCAGCTGCCCCGTGCTACTCCTACTAACTATATCCAGACAAGACTGCTCGGCTCTCAGATAGATGGACGGGAGACGCGGGACAGCTCGGGAGGGAGCAGCGATGACATGTCCGCGACGAACTGCTAAGCGACCGTCGATACCATTCCATTCCAGACGTGGACGCCGCAAGACCTGGGAACGCCGGTAGTGGGAAGACCCAACGAGACACCCACCCATCCACGAGTCCACCGTCACAGCCAACCGGGCAGACGCGGGACGCGGGGGCCGGAAGCCGGGTGGCGGGAGGCGGGAGGCGGGAGGCGGGAGGCGGGAGAGCGGGAGGCCAGAGAAGTCCCGGGAAGCCGCCATTTGATCTCCGAAGCGGAAGATAGACACGATTGCATCGTGCATGGTTGTGCAGTATCAGGCTGCGAAGTATCTACCAGAAACAAAGTATATCCAGACAAGACCTCTGGCTATTGTTCTACGGGCCTTCTTTCAACTCCACTCCCTCTATGTGCCGTCCTCGTCCCGTATCTCGCTACCGTCTTATCACCACCCGGGCCCGCAGAATGCAAGTACAACGACCACTTGGCACTTCGACGGACTCGGGAGAAGCATCACATCTTGCATCCCGGATCGGTGATGGACCACTTCCCCTCTCTAAATATATTCCAATGGACGTAGTAGTATGGGGCCGGGCTACCTCCACTCGACGACAGGCTCGATATACGTAGTACGATAGTACGACTAATGAGCTCTTCTATAGATATAGATATAGATATAAATATAGATAGACATAAATATATATTTATATATATATGTATATGTATATATATACCGGTATATATAAATAAAAATATGTATATGACGTCCCTTCGTTTGTTGGGGGTCAAGTCCCTCGTGGTGCTCCGTGCCCCCCCCCCCCTGGCTCAGGTCCGATGCCCGCTTCCTGAATCCTGTGCGGACATGGATGGGCCGATTTGAATTCTTCATGAATGAGCCATGTCCCTGAATCCTTCTCATCCCTCCATCTGCCCTCCCTCTGTCCACGACCTGTGTCTACCAACAACACCTACCGGTATCTATCTACGACTCTCTTCACCCTCCTCTCATCACTCTGCACTTCCTCTCTTCGCTCCCTGCTCTCCCTGTTCTCCCTGCTCTCCCTTCGCTCCCCTCGCTCCCTTCGCTCCCTTCGCTCCCTCTTCGCCCCCCCTCCCCCCCCCCCCCCCCCAGTGTCTCCTCCGCCCGGCTCGTCCCTGTTCTGGCTCTTCCCTTCACCACGCTCGCTCTCGTGCTCGTCGACCGCATCCCGATGTTCTTGTACGGCTGAGACAAGGACCCCATCCGTCGACCATGTTTGATTAATCATCGAAACGCTCCCTGTCGCTTTCGATTTCGAATTTGTGAGCAGCGCCGCTGTCCCCGCGTGGCGGCCGCCAGCGAGACGAGAGGAAGCCGGACAAGATCCATACAGAGAGAGGCTGGCGAGCCCCCGACCGCGGCAACATGATCGTAATGGAGGGGCTGATGTTGGTTCCGCCGGAGCGTGGGACAATCATCGGGAAGCCAGCGTGGAAGGTTGGTCTCGTCTGCCCCTCGCCTGCTACCATCAGCGGAAGGCCTCCACGTCTAACCGTGCGCTCTCTAGACTCGATATATCGTCCTTGGGACCGGCGCCACGTTAAAGACGCAGAACGACCTGCTGCCGAGCTCGGGATCCACGAGAGGCTCCGATGGGAGGAAAGGATCGAAGGTGATCTCGTCGAAGCCGAGCCTGGTCGATGTGTCGCAGCCGGGCCCGACAGGCACGGCACTCTATATTACGGTATACAAGGCAAAGGTACGCGGCACCGGATCGGCCCCGTGGGGAAGAGGAGATCCGCTTTCTAACCCCGAGCAGGGCGATTGGGAATTCATAGCCCAACATCCGGTATCGGCATTCAAGTCCTGCAACATCCAAACCTTGCAGTATCGAAAACAGAGCCCGTCCATGCCTACCCTGATGTTCGAGATGAAATCAGATTCCTTGTCCGAGAAGCAGCGGAAGAGGAAGTCGAGCCGGACCGGGGCCCTGTCGGCCAAAGACCCCTGGGCCAACTTCTTGCTCTTCCGGACGGTGCCCACCGAGAAACATGGCGTCTACGAGTGGCAGGCTGCCGTGAGGCCGCTTCTGACGCCAGAAGAGCCTGCCGAGGAGGTGATCATGACTCCCAAAAGCCCGGCCTTCAGCGCCTTCGTCTATCCCTTTGGAAGGACCAGGAGGGCGTCGAGCGCGACCAGCAGGATATCCGAGACGGATAGACGTTCCTCGAGTGTTCAAGGCCACCCCAATTTCTATCCGCACACGCCGGTGGTACGGGAGCGGCCCTCCGCCATGATATCCCCCACTCCAAGCCTTCGATCGCGACGTTCGGATCTGTCATCGCAGGCGAGCTCGCAACCTCCGCACATGGGCTCGACCTCCGCCCACCTCCCGCACGGGTACAATGGGACGCTGCCGGTGGACATGCCCTCCCCGGATTCGATGTCTGGCTACGAAAACCAACTCATTGAAGGGTGGACGTCCGCGCAAGGACGATCATCTGCCTTGTCCTCGCACACCAGACGGAGCAACAGCATAGCATCGCCCGTCGCGCCCGCAGCTTCCGTAGCGTCAACCCCGCCCGGACCGAGGGAAACGATTCTCGACCGGGCGTTCCAGATGCGTTGCATTCCCGGGGGCGATCGAATCCCCGAGAAGCAAGAAGAGAAGATCAGCAGTATAGCCCGCTTCGAAGCATTGATGCGAGAAGCGGATGAGCGGAAGATGGCCCTTTCGCTCGCAAACCAAGGCAGGAAGGTCCGGCAGGAGAGGCATCTCGAGGAAGAATCCGAGCCGTCCTCATGCGGAGAACTAGATCTGGATGACGAGCTCGAGCTCTCCGAAGACGAGATCTCCATCCCGAAGCCCGCCCAACGAGCACTGGACTACATATCTGGCCGCCGAACGCCCATAGCAGCACCCACCTCGCACCGTCCCCGCTCTCCCGCCCCCGGGAGCCCGCCAGGACCGTTCTTGAATCCTCAGGCCATGCTCGCCTTGCAAGGCACATCCTATGCCGCGTCCGCTGGCCTCCGCCCCCGAACGGGCTCTACGCCCTCCGTTGTACGCCCGAGGCCGTCCCGTCCCACCTCCCTCGCCCTCCCATCCCGCTCCACGTCATCAAACGCCGTCCCCACCCTCCTCGACCGAGAAAGTACGAACAGCGCTCTCCGCGCCGGCACTTCCGACCCGAAAGAGAAACGCAGGAGTAGTGCGTCGGTGAAACGGCTCAGCTTCTCGGAGTTTGCAAAAAGATTGAGTAGCACGAGTAGCTTGCTGCTGGTGCAAACGATGGATAGCTCCAGCTCGGGGAGAGATGGGAGTCTGCGGGACAGCAGCGACTATGGGCTCGAGAATAGTGAGTTCCCAGACCGGACGGCGATGCGAGGTGGCCTCGGCAGGGATGCGGAAGCAGGGAGGGATAAGAGGTGTGGGTGGAGAGGCAGCGTGTTTGGTGCGGATGGCGGGTTCCTCTGAATCTTTACCTCTACGGTATTGTATTGGTGGTACCTCTGCGTCTTGGGTGGAAGAGCTGACTTTTTGCGTTTGAAGGGGACGGTGATGACACGTTCGATGACTATGATGACAGCGTTTTTTTTTTTTGGTTTTTTTTTTTTCCTTTTTTTTAATCGAGTTATTGGTAATAGTGTGTAATATGCCCGGATCCGCTGGAGGGATCTTTGTGTTTGGGATTGTCAGGCGTTGCGATACCAGTCTTTCTTATTGCTATCTACTCTTCTACCTCTCTTTTGACCTCTTCGTTTTCTGTTTATCTTGCCCGGGAGGAGGGGGTTGAGATGGAAGATTTGAATCGAGGACTTTTTTCCCCTTTTTTTTGGTGAGTATAGCGGCCAGGCAAAGATTGGATGGAGACAACACACTATAGGGCATAGAGGGATGGATGTACAGTTCCAGAACACATTAGAATTTTTTTGAAATCGGAGCGCGATCGACGTAATGTATCTATCTATCTCTCTGTCTCTATCTAATTCGACTTTTTGTAATTTTATAATTTTTTTTAGGTGGGGGGGGAGGGGGGGTTTTCTTGGATTTGGTTAATATAATTATTTTT